ATTTCAGTACTGTGGTGAATAGTTATTTTCTTACGTCATTGTAATTTATATAAGGCTTAAGTGATTTGTTGATAAGTAGCATCAACTAATAAAAAATATCAGTAAAATACTTAATTCCGAATTATAATCTTAAATTTGTATCCCATTCATCAGTACCGTGTCGTCAGTTCCATGTTCGATGTTTCGGTTATCTTTTTTTCGCAAACTTTAATTTAAATTCTGCTTGCGCAGAACTTGTTTATTTAATGTCATTATAAGCTCATATAAATTTGGTGTGGGTTCCATATCTAATAATTGAGATATCGGTATACCCAAAATCCACCAGCCGCCACTGATGTGTGGTATTATTTGATTTTAAGATATTTAATGTATAATATGCTCAAAGTTGCAATAAATCTTATATTTTCCAATAAATTATGTATTTAATTAGTACCCTGGTATACTCGTCACTTCCCTTGCATTCAAATTTAGAAAACACAGATATTTCAGAAACTGTTTGAAAAAGTGACTGGCCCGGTCTGGAATAGTATATTTATTATATTATCTATGTTCTCATAACAAAATTCTGTTTAATTTTCTCCGAAAACTATATAAACAAAATGAGGTCAAAAGTTGCCCAACTTTTGTAGAATCCACCCCTGTGTAAGAGAAAAAACTGATCGGAGTATAACGCTGTATGTGCGTTTTTAGAGTATTTTTAATTATCCTTGGTCCTGTCAAAAGCAGCATTTCAATTAGATTTTTAATTTAGCGTTTAATTAATATTTGAAAATGAATGAGATTCAACAAAATTAATTGTTTGATTATTTCAGGCCAATAATTATTTCTACATCCAAAAATTTTATTGATTTTACCTGTATAATTTAATAAAATCCATTAAATTAAATTTTATAATTTAATACCGCGAACACAAATTATTTTTAAATTGGTTTATAGAGCTTTTGCTAGAAAAGGGCTTCAAATTACAGTCAGGTACTTCACTGTTTAAAATTTTATGGTTTTGAAGTTATTAAAAAGCATTTAAAATCATTATAATCCTTATGCTTCCAATTTTTGGGTTATTAGAATGTCAAAACGTGATAAATTTATATTTAACAATTTTGATAAAAAAGTAATATAAAATGCCTTTGTTTAAACTTAATAATAAAATTAGATATACGAGGTGTGTTCATTTCGTTTTTTGAAACAAAAATTTATTTATTCGTCTACATTAATGTTGTCGCCTTCAAAATAGTCCCCATTGGATATTATGCACATGTGCCAGCTCTTCTTCCAATACTCGAAACACTTCTAAAACTCGATCTTTGGAATAGCCTTTAGTTCTTTCAGCGATGCGCTTTTAATGTCATCTATGCTTGCAAAACGACGGCCCTTTAAGGTTCTCTTTATTTTTGGGTATAGGAAAAAGTCAGACAGAGGCATGTCTGGCGAATATGGAGGCTGGGGCATCATTACAGTATTGTTTTTGGCCAAAAATTTTGTTCAAAATTTAACAATTTTAGAACAAATTTTGCTGCCACGCGTTTCAAACCCAAAACATTCGAAAAAATTTCATGGGATGAGCCAATCGATATACCAACATCATCAGCGACTTCTCTGATGGTTTATAACCATTTCTTCCACTTTTTCCATGTTTTTATCGGTTGTTAATGCGCTTGTGCGTTCGGGGCGTTCGTCATCTTCAACGTCTTCACGGCCATCTTGGAAACTCTTATACCACTTGTAAACTCTTGTTTTAGTTATAGCAGACTCACTATAGGCCTTTGTTAACATTTCACAGAATTTGTTTCGTTTTTAAAGCAAAACTGGATACAAATTCTTTGATCCATTTCTTTTAACGAACGAAAAATCGCCGAGCTCATAAAACACGTCTAACCTTAGCGACTGCCACAGACAAAGTAAACAATGAAAACAGCTAAAGTTTTTATCATACTTCGGGGGCATATATACCAACATAATAAAGAAAATTTTATAACAACCGGACCCTCCGAACCCGCGAAATTTAACAATTCCCGTTATTTTCTGAACACACCTCGTATTTTTTTATGAATTTTCAATTGTTTTTTTTTTCAATTTTCGGAGGTGTTTTGACGTTTTCGAGTATAGCTAGAAATCTAATTGATCGATTTGGTCGAACAAGCCCTTAAATTGAAGGTATTTGAGCCCTCTAAAACTTTCTTTTACATACTTTTGATATCGAATAAGTATTTTGACGTTAGCGATTTAAATACCAAAATTGAGGTCGAAAATTTACATATCGTCCTGGGAAGGGTTTAAATCAAACAGATAACCCTAGTTTGAATTTTTTTTCGTGAAGCTGACATTTTAACAAAAAGAACAAGCTAATGTTGATAAAAATAAATGGAAAAAGACCAAAATTCAGCTTTTTGACTATTTTTATTTTATTTTGTTCTTTTATTTTGTAATATGTTTATTTTTTAATGAAAACCTAAAGTGCATTATTGGAATTTTTTGAGTTTTTTAGTGGCTGCTTTTTCACTATGACAATTAGTCATTTTTGACTAATTTATTTTAAGAGAGTAGGTATATTTACAAAATTTTAAAGACAAATGACAAAATAAATATGTATACGAATTCATGGCAACATAATATTATATTTAAATGATAATACCCGTTTTTGTTTTTTACCGTTGAGTGAAGACTTTTTTAATCAACGCTTTTAATAATGCGCTGTTTGAATTTAGATTCGCCACTTATATTCCTTAAACATAAATCTATAAATAAAAAGTATGGAAAAAAAAAGACAATCTTTAGTGTCTTAAGTGGTAAATTCTTGAAATTTACAACACGTAAGTGTAATAAATTGAAAACCTAACTACCTTAGCTTTGAACACAAAGTAATATTTATTGTGAAATTAACATGAAATTTTATAACGCATCTCGCCACCCACGCCACTGCTTTGGTTCAACATTAAGACGATATTTATTTTACCCGTAAACTCTGTAAGCATTGTCTAAAAAACCTACATACGAATCTTCCTCAACACCAAACTGTGGTTTTCTTTTGGAAGAAATAAAATTTTTCCTTAAAATTCTGCACAATAAAATTGCCGGAGCGTTTTTATACTAAAAGTCGCGCGCGGAATTGTGCCCATTGTCTCTTTTTTTCTAAAGAATGTGAAGAGTAAAAAAATTTTCTAAAATAAATTTTTTTTTATCCTTGAAATTTAATAGCAACTCTTATAATAAAAATTTGAAGGCTACTTGTTTCTTATCTTTTTATCCTAGACGATTTCGGCATGGTATTATCTGTTATCGCGTTTTTTTGCAATGCGATATATCATGGCATTCTGGGAATGCATAGCACTTGAGAATTTTATATTAACTTTAATCTTCCTTATATTTTGTTACGTATTATCACTAAAAGGTGTGGGTGTACACAAATGCATTTGTCATTGAAACGGTTTTTAATGAATAACTTGTTTGTCTTTATTTTATCGAAAAATTTTCGTTATGCATTTTTGCAGATAATGAAAATATCTATAATTTTCCTAATATAAGTTTTTTTGTATCAATAATTGTTTCCAAAATATACCCTGATGAAGTTTAAAGAGTGTAAGTGTAGTATGATCACAGTATACTTTAACGGTGGATGTCTTGGTTAATCTTTGAGTTACACTAATTTTTTATGCGCCATTTTGTAGGAAATTTAACACACTTTAATACAGTATGCACATTATTTTTTCACCTACAACACCAAACAAGTTATATTGCTTTAATGAAAGCTCTACATCTCGAACTAATAGTAACAGTCATTGATAACTATATCTGGCAAATTATTAGGGGTATAATATTTTGCTGTGTGTAGTTTTATTCAGAATTTAATAGGCTAAAACATTGTTGACAAAAGTTTTTGTTTAAAATCAATAATTAAAAAGTTATGCTGGAAAAACTGTTTTATTGCTCTAAAATCAAAATGCATCCTTGACCCTCGATGAGAAAATTGGCGATATCTTTGTTATTTTTAGAGCTATCTTAACATTCTATACTTTTAATTAAAGCCAATGAAATTTTTTTAATGTTTTTTTATAAAAGGTGTGGGGTACACAACTGCTTTTGTCATTGAAACGGTTTTTAATGAATAACTTTTTTGTCTTTATTTTATCGAAAAATTTTCTTTATGCATTTTTGCAGATAATGAAAATCTCTATAATTTTCCTAATATAAGTTTTTTTGTGTCAATAATTTTTTCCAAAATATACCCGGATGAAGTCTAAAGAGTGTATGTGTATTATGATCACAGTATACTTTAACGGTGGATATCTTGGTTAATTTTTGAGTTACACAAATTTTTTATGCGCCATTTTGTAGGAAATTTAACAAACTTTAATACAGTATGCACATTATTTTTTCACCTACAACACCAAAAAAGTTATGTTGCTTTAATGAAAGCTCTACATCTCGAACTAATAGTAAGAGTCATTAATAACTATATCTGGCAAATTATAAAGGGTATAATATTTTGCAGTGTGTAGTTTTATTCAGATTTTAATAGGCTAAAATATTGTTGACAAAAGTTTTTGTTTAAAATCAATAATTAAAAAGTTATGCTAGAAAAACTGTTTTATTGCTCTAAAATCAAAATGCATCCTTGACCCTCGATAAGAAAATTGGCGATATCTTTGTTATTTTTAGAGCTATCTTAGCATTTTATACTTTTAATTAAAGCCAATGAAGTTTTCTTTAATGTTTTTTCATAAAACAAACCTAACCTTAAAATTGTAAAAGCATTAAGCGCTTTAAATGATATCAACCTGTGATTTCAATCGATTCTCCAATATGAATAAAACTCCTAAATATAATTAATACCGTAGTCAATAGCACGTGATTTTTTAATTAACGAAATATGGGGCGCACTTGTTAAACCTCTCAACCAAAAAAAAATTGTGTTTTTTGTGCTAACTCCGTTTTTTCTGATTTTACAGAATGAAGTAATTAAAACTGCAGTCAGCCTATAAGGGCTGAATAAGCGTCGAACAATGGAGATGTTGACAACGTTATTGTCCTTCTTGGCCATTTTAATATGGCGGACGTCCGCCGAGCAAGGTAAGTGTGGCAACATTGCTTTTTTTGACGGATATAAATTTTTGTATGCTGAAGCGTTAAAGAAATATTTCTCAAGAAAGTCGAGATTGTTTTATTAAGGTAATTTTTTTAAAACCTGTACTTAAGTAGCGTTTCTTTAAAACAAAGAGGATCTCTGGTCAATTATTAATTTACTTCAACAATCACCTAAAATTATGGTTAATAATAATCTTTGGATTTTAAGACCGGACGTAGATATAAAAAGGTAAAATTGTGGAAACACTAATTAAGATATTAAAATCGTCGGAATCTTTTGAACAAAACTAAAATAATTTACTGAGAATTTTTATATCCAAAATTTATGGAAAAATTCGGCTTTTTTCTCAAAAAATTTTTTGAAGAGGTCGATTTTTTTTCAATTACCTACGCACATTTTAAATTACTATTTTCATATTTTCCGCCATTTTTGTAGAATCTCTGACGTAATCGGCCATTTTTTTAATGTTCTATTTGATTATGTTAAAACGTACAGGGTTTTATATTTATAATAAAATAGTTATTTATGTTATTAGGTTAGCCGAATGGCATACAACATTTTATCTTCAAAGCACTTTATATAGGTCAATCTAATTCAACATCAAAGCGGCCTAACCTCACTTTTTTATAATCTCATTTATTTATTATCTAAAGATTACATTAAATGTACAATAATTATTATTGCTTTTAGAAGCAGTAATAGTTTGACAATACCTAGCCACATGATTTAAGTAGAAATGGATTTTTTCCATTACATTGAATTCAATTAATTGTTTAATAAATAGGTAGGTATCTAATTTCAATTTGTTTGGATTTTTATTTAAAAAATAGGTAGTTTGGAATGTTTAAGCTGTGTTTAACATTTAATTTCACTGAAAACTTAAAGCAAATTAAAAATGAAAGAAAATTTAAATCGTAGAAAAAGAATCGTGCGTTTTCTTGGTTGCCTAACCTCACTTTTTGTTTTATTACTCATATTTAATTTTACAATAATTTAATGAAAAATATTAAACATTAACAGTAAAACAAACAAATTAGTGCTTATTATAAATAAATTAAACCAGTTTAGTAGGTTAATTTCTTAGAAAAGGATTAATTTGTCAAAACAATACCCCTAGCGAGAAAAAATCGAACTAATTACTTGCCTCATAAATATTTTAATCGGCCTAGGCCATATCAAGGTATTTCTTTATCGAATGTTGACAACAATAAAGTTTAAATTATAGACCGCGTGAAGATAAAAGTTATTATTGGTTTTTCCCAAGGTATTTGTTGAAAAAATTAATATCTTGAAAACTATTGACTTTAGGTATAGTCTAAATCAAATTGTATATGCTATTAAAATTTCAAATCCATATCGTTTGCGTTTCTCCAGAAACACCCTGTATAGCATTATATTAAATATAAATTATATATATATATATATACATAAATATTGTCAAACGCGCTATGAAAAAACTTATGGGTGATTCTACAAAAGTTGGACAACTTGATGTCATCAGTCAATAGAGTAGGTATTTTAATATTTTTTGTAAATATTTTAGTATATTACAAAAGATCCAGATTTTTTTAACTTGTCCACCCAATTTTAATGTTTTTTCAAAAGCACGTTTGTAGAAAAACATAATAAATATTCAAAACATCAGTACCTTGGCGTGTCACAACTCCTGAATCAAATATTTGAGTGATTTTATTTTAAAATATATTCAATTTATCTTAAATTTTTCAATTTCACTACAAACTATAAAACATTAAATAAGGTATTTTTCATATTTTATCATAGATTCGAATAATAGCAATTTAAAAAAAAAAGATAATCTTTGTACTCACTTTTACACGTCAGTTCTATGTCCAATGTTAAAATTCAAAATTCTTACAAATATTGAAGTTTAAACGTCAAGTCCTCGTTTTAACTCAAGTGTTGGTAAAAAAATTACCTACAGAGCCCGCCCTTTGCACGACAGCCATCTTGTAAACAATTCAATCGGCGAAGTTGTGGTGAATGCACGTATAGTTCCAGTCAAAATTTCAGTACTGTGGTGAGTAGTTATTTTCTTACGTATATATATTTTATTGTAATTTATATAAGGCTATATGTGATTTGTTGATAAGTAGCATCCACTAATAAAAAATATCAGTAAAATACCCAATTCCGAATTATAATCTCAAATTTGTATCCCATTCATCAGTACCGTGTCGTCAGTTCCATGTTCGATATTTCGGTTTTTTTTTTCGCAAACTTTAACAACAATTTAAATTCTGCTTGCGCAGAACTTGTTTATTTAATGTCATTATAAACTCATATAAATTTGGTGTGGGTCCCATATCTAATAATTGAGATATCGGTATACCCAAAATCCACCAGCCGCCACTGATGTGTGGTATTATTTGATTTTAAGATATTTAATGTATAATATGCTCAAAGTTGAAATAAATCTTATATTTTCCAATAAATTATGTATTTAATTAGTACCCTGGTATACTCGTCACTTCCCTTGCATTCAAATTTAGAAAAAACAGATATTTCGGAAACTGTTTGAAAAAGTGACTGGCCCGGTCTGGAACAGTATATTTATTATATTATCTATTTTCTCATAACAAAATACTGTTTAATTTTCTCCGAAAACTATATAAACAAAATGAGATCAACTTTTGTAGAATCACCCATAACTTTTTGAACATTTGAACGTATTAATATAAAAATCTTCCAATAAATAAACGAACGATTACACGAAATCAAAAAACCTTGTCAACATATTAAAAAGTTTCCTCGAAAGCAATTTCCTAAAATATTTAATCAAAAGCCGACTTTCGAGCATAAAAAGTTCCAATATTAAAAACTACATATTAATGAAGAGGGTGCAACTTGTCCCCATAATCTTACGACTTGTTTCAGAATTAAAAAAAAACACCCAAAACTTATTAAAAAGTTTTCGGTCCACAAATTGCCTTCGATTCGTAAGGGTGGAAAAAGTTCCGCAAAATCTTGGTATGCATGTAAATTTTTGGGTTTCAGCGTGAAACTAAAACGTTATTTGTTTGTTGGATTTTAAGTTGGCCATGCTAACTTAGTTTTACAAGTAGAATGCGAGTTTTTAAAAGGTACGTACCATATCAAATTTTATACTTAAATTCCTTTGAATACTACCTTCCATATAGCGGTAGTTGCAAAATAAGTGACGTAACCTCTGCAACTTCATGCTCTCCTGATACTTTTGAATTTGAAAAAACTGTTATAAATCTAATTAAATTACAAGAATAATTTAATCTCATTAGAAAGCATTATTTTGCAACAAATTCCAGCAATAAGTTGCATTTTGAAAATAAACAGAAAATAAAAAAAAATATAAGCAATTACTTACCTTAATGTATTAACAAAAAATATATTTTGCAATAAAATGAATAATACTGACGTGTTAATTATAGCCTTATATAAAAAGCCAATTATTATTTTAATATCATTAAAAATATGGGTTACTATTTTTATTGCTGTTAATGATTATTATATATATATTGTATGTATATATATATTGCCTAATTCAAACATAATTGACAGAAAGGTCTTTTAAAGCATTTACTTTTTATTTGAACGTAATTATTAACAATTATATTATTTATTTAATCATCAACTACTGAATAGCTTTAAGGCCAAGCATTAGATTTGTCTGAGATAAATAATTTATTTATTTTGTATATATAGCTTTAAATTTTCCTCAAAAAGCGTATTTTTTAAATATACAAACAAAAAACTAATATAATAATGCGTTTTTAAAATACAGGCTGACACAAAAATGATAAAATGACCATAGAATCTATTTTGTTCGATAAAATATTTATTTTTAGGATTTAAAAAACGCTTTATAGCTTACATTGTTCATAAAGCATTGGAGATTTACAATGTACATTGAAAATAATTTTGTTACATTTAGTTTGCGATATACAGGTCAATAAACAATCACCAGTCAGACTGCAAACTTCTAAAATAACGACAAAACCCATTTTGCTTGATAATATGTTTATTTCTAAAAGTTTAAAAGCCTTATATAGTTTTAAATTTTTCTGAAAATGCGTAGTTTTTAAATATACAAACAAAAAATTAATATAATAATGCGTTTTTTAAATACAAGCTGAAACAAAAATGATAAAATGATCATAGAATCTATTTTGTTCGATAAAGTATTTATTTTTAGGTTTTAAAAAACGCTTTATGGCTTACATTGTTCATAAAGCATTGGAGATTCCAAATGTACATTAAAAATAATTTAATTAATTAATATAATTATTCGTTTTTAAAATACACGCTGAAACAAAAACGATAAAATGACAATAGAATCTATTATATTCGATAAAATATTTATTTTTAGGATTTAAAAAACGCTTTATAGCTTTCATTGTTCGTAAAGCATTGGAGATTTCAAATGTACATTGAAAATAATTTTATTAAAATTAGTTTGCGAGATACAGGTCAATAAACAATTACCAGTCTGAGTGCAAACTTCTAAAATAACGGCAAAAACATTTTGCTCGATAATATGTTTATTTCTAAAAGTTTAAAAGCCTTATATAGCTTTAAATTTTCCTCAAAATGCTTAGTTTTTAAATATACTAACAAAAAATTAATGTAATAATGCGTTTTTAAAATACAGGCTGAATCAAAAATAATAAAATGACCATAGAATCTATTTTGTTCGATAAAATATTTATTTTTAGGATTTAAAAAACGCTTTATGGCTTACATTGTTCATAAAGCATTGGAGATTTAAAATTTACATTGAAAATAATTTTGTTAAATTTATTTTGCGAGATACAGGGCAATAAACAATCACCAGTCAGAGTGCAAACTTCTAAAATAACGACAAAACCCATTTTGCTCGATAATATGTTAATTTCTAAAAGTTTAAAAGCCTTATATAGCTTTAAATTTTCCTCAAAATGCGTAGTTTTTAAATGTACAAACAAAAAATTAATACAATAATGCGTTTTTA